GGGAGAGAAATCCAATAAATAAATAAATAAATAAATAAATAAATAAATAAATAAATAAATATCTTACTTCAGCTTTCCTTTGCTTCGCATAGACCTGTGAAGGTCGTAAATGTGAGGATTGGTCATAAAGTTACTTTTTCATCACTGTTGTAGCTGCAAACAGTTGCTAAACAAGGCAGTTGCTAAACGAGGACTACCTGTAAAGCATATCTGAGAATAAATTAAGCAGAGAGTAAGACAAGGATGTGTGATGTTTCTTTGACCAGTTAATGTATTTATGGGTAAATGTAATAGGAATGCTTGTGGTGCTGTTAGAGCTGTGTTGGTTGGGAACATGAATGTGAGTGTACCTTTCCATGTAGATGATGCCTTGTGCTGGCAAAGAACCTGAATGATTTGCAGTGAAAGTTAGATAAATGTTATCATCAGATCTATAAAGAGCATAGATCTATACGTGAATGTATCAAAGAGACATTTGACCCGAAACGTGGAGTAAACCATTGCAAGTGATATATAAATGGTGAAAAATTAAAGCAAATGGATGAATTTGTGTATCTTGCTGGAATGTTTTCTAAAGTTGGGGAAAGGGATGGATATTTTTAAAGATGTTTAAATGTTGACAAAAAATGTAGCTGGTAGTATTACTCCTGTTGTGAGGAATGAATATGGGTGATGGATATGGACATAGGATTGTGCTCCAGATGCTCATGGGATGAGTGAAAATATTGCCACAACTGTTTCATCGTTCATTAACTGTGGGATAAGGGACGAATACTGTGTACCAAATAGTTGGCTTTGCTGTTACCTTATAGTGACTACGTATGAAGGAGATCTTGGATTTGCCAGAATCTAGTCTCTACTCCAGTGTAGGTGGTTAAGGGCTACGTCTGGAGTTGGGCTAGATTGTGAGAGGTTGTGTTGCAGTTTCAGGAAGACAGTGACAGTGGTTTCTTGAACCCCAGCTGGATGCTCCATGTAACTCGGGGATTTGGTGTGAGTATAAATAAATAAACCCAAATAAACCCAACCCAGGCATAGTAAATTCATGAAACTTTTTCTGTGATAAAAAACATTATTATTTTTATCTTCCTTAAAAGCCACATTAATAAGTCACATTCTGAGCTGCAAAATATATGGACTCAAAAGCTAATAGACTTTTAATTCTCCTAAGAGTAATTAACATTGCCAGTAGATTAGCAAAGCAATTTAAGTTGACACATTATTTTGTGATACTGGAGTTATTTTTCTCAGCATTTTAATGCCACTCTTCAACCCAAAAAAAGTTTCCTTGAGTGGCTTGCAAAGATAAATAAGAAGACAGTTGCTACTCTCAGCCTTACAATTAAACTTTTCTTCTGATATTTTGCTGCAACATATGCATGAAATAGGAGTTTAATTCAGTTTGGCTGCCCTTGAAGTTTCACTCAGTCCATTTCACTGGATGACTTTCAACTCTATTAGGAGAAAAAGAGAACAATATTGTCCTGTCCATTATCTTTATGCATATGCAGGACTCTGAATAATTTGATGTTATTTGCAAACTTTGCATCTTGACCTGCTTAATTTGGGCACACATGTTTTTAAATGTGTTTTTAAATTATATATTTGAAATACTGTCAGTCGCCCAGAGTCTTCCCAGAGTCGGGCGGCCTTAAAAATCCAATGAATAAATAAATAAAGTCTTTAATCAAACTAAAATGTGGCAGCCTTTCCTTTTAGAGAGGGTTTTTCAGTTCCCTGATCGTTCTGAAAAGCAAAGAGAGATGACAATCTTTTTTTTTTAAAAAAAAGAAAAGCCTTTAAAGTCCTCTTTTTGAGATGGATAATGAGAATGGTATTCCATGTGTGTAAGGACAACGTGATAGAGACAATTCTATTTTTGATTGATTTCATAACAATTCCAAGTGTGTAATTTCCCTCTTTCACAGCTGCTGTGTATTAAATTGGCATTTTCATTGCGTTATCCATCAGGGCTACCAGATTTCTTCCTTGATTAGCAGGACTATGCAAGCATTTGAGGGGGTAGAGGGATGTGCAGAGTATATCGGCATGCGCAAAGCACACTTCCTTGAACCATTAAAGCAGCCATGCCATTGGGAAGGTCCACCGTAGCTGCTTTCGTTCCCTGTTCCTCAGAAAGATGAACTCCTACGTCAAGTTCTTCATACTTGGCTCCAAGGCATAGTGATGCTTAGATAGTGATCTTTGATGTGATCCTTTGAGCAATGCTTGCAAATAAACAAGTGTGTCAGTGAAATGTCGTGGGGTGCGATTGTTTACTGAAGCTCGTTTAGAAGAACGGCGGGCCAAAAAAATGACCGGTGTCTGCTTGTGAGGAACCGCTTCACCCTTGCCCTGGTTCTCTTTCAGAATGAGGTCAGCCATGAGGAATACTGTTCAGCATGCAAGCACGGTGCCAACTTACAACCTTGCGGAACATGCTCCAGGGCCTATCACCTCAACTGCTTGGATCCTCCCTTGAAGACTGTCCCTAAAGGAGTATGGGTCTGTCCCAAGTGCCAAGAAAAGGTGAGCTACTTTGCACTGCAAGTACTTAAAAAAAACAACCTGAGAGCTGAATTCCATTTAATTTTGGTAAGATAGAGAGTTGTATGATCTATTCATCTTTTCCGCAAAAACTTTCTTTCTCATCTGAGGGTGAATTATGACCTCAGTAGTCATGTTCCTGTCATAGTCATGTCCTCATCAGCAGGGGAGGAAGACCTGACTCTAAGGATCAAGTCTCTGATGTCTCAAATCCCCAGGTCTCTGTGTCTGTATGTAGCTTTGGGTTCTTGACTGACTAGCCCACAAGAGCGTTATAGATGTTGCATCAAAGGACAAAGAGTTGGGGAAACACTGTGGGAAGGTCAATCACTCTGGAGCATTATGTGTTAATTTTAAGCCAACCGTTGTATTGAAAGAGCCCAGTCTTGCTGACTGGGTGATCAAGATCTCGGAGTCGGAGTCTACAGATGCTGAATCAGAAGCAAAGGGACACGTTTCTGCCTTGTTTCTGGTGCTAGAAATGGTTCCTCAGGATCCGGTTCTGTTCTCATCTTTCTCTGCATCCAGTGTGAAGAGGGTGTGTTATCGTTTGATTAAAGTTAGCCTTCTTGAAAACAGTGGGATATAAATTTATTGTGACTAACTTTACTTTCTTTCATTGTTTGTAAAAATGTTACTGGATTCAGTCCTGGTAGGAGTATACAGAATATTTCAAATTTGAACCATTTTGCATTCAAAACACTCCATTTTGCATATCAAACAGACTCTTTCGGAGTGTTTTGAGATTGAAACAGAGTGTTTGGAATTAAAAACAGCTGTTTCAGGCAAGAGACTCTGCCAAGATGATCAGAAAATCCCATTCCAAAATGCAAAAGGCAGCTGTTTCCTGCCGGAAACAAGTGTGTCCACCTCAAAATGGGGTGTTTCCATTTAGAAGCAGTTCAGATTTAAAACATTTTGCACGCCATCATTTGCAAAATACCTTGTTCGCTCTGTCAACTGTTGTGCAAAATAAATCATCAGTATTCCCCTTTCTACAGATGGGCCTAAACATTTGCTTCTGAAGTACACCTGCATTCCCTTTTCAGAAGTTGGATTCTATTCTTAGGATTTATTTACTCTAGAGTGACTTCCATACAGAATTTTAAAAACGAGTAGTGTTTGAGAGAAAAGCTGATAATGTCTGTTCCGCCAAGAAATTCTAGATTGCTCTTCTGTGAGAAAATATCCGAAATATTTTCTGAAATATTTTCAGATTGATAAATCTGAAACTTTTACACAGCCTGATGCTTACCAAAATCCTGTTCTAATGCATGTAAAAAAGAGACACGTCAGTTGCATCATTGTGCCCCCTCCCCATGGCCAGTGACCTGCAAAATACTCGCCACAATCATAGCAGTGAAAAAAAAAATCATCTCCCTCACTTATTTGCTTATTTAATATATTGGTAGATTATGACTTCTTAAAGTACGGAACACAAACAATAGCAGTGAAATGATATATTCGAGTTAAAAAAAAAAAGAATAATAACAACACAACATTCCTGCAGAGAAATCTTAACTGAAAAAATCTTTAGCAAGTGCTTAGAAGATGCAACTGAGAATTCCTTGCCAATTTTAGGACAAAGAATATCTCCAAGTCCAGGAGTATTATGTTATATTTGCCACTCAGAGTCACGTATGTGATTTCATTGGCTGCATGCATTCACCAAATAAATAAATAATATTCTATTCTACATTTCTTGAGCTACAGAAATTTTAATTTGCCCGTCAATATTATGCAGAATAGGAAGTGTAAGTTAGGACGCCTGTGCTGAGTGATTCCGACTCGTCTTTCCATTCTCTGCTTCTCACCGAGGAGTGCTTAGCGTTCCCAGATTTTTTTCAGTTCAGCAGGAACAGGATTACTGCATGGAGAAACATTTCTTTTGAGACAAGGAAAAAGACATCTTTAGTGGTTATGGAAACAACAAAGGTGTTTCTTTGTGAACACCGACAAGCTAAAGCTTTTCTTCATGCCTACAGTCATAGGCAACCAGTCGGTGTGGTTTAGAGGTGATGTTTGCTAGATGAATAAAAGGGAGGGAAAGAAAGTACATTTTCCTATATGATTTCCCGGGCATTCTTATTTTACAAACCAATGAACCAGTTTTGTGTAACTGTTGGGTATTTCTCATACGATCAACTTTTGATTAAAAAATCTGGGGGAGGAGATGCTGAGGTGCTCACAAATATTGTGTCCTAAGTGTGTCCTTGAATCGTTGAAAGCTGTTATTATCTGAAACCTGTAGGTGTTAAAGAAAGATGACAGTGTCCCCTGGTCTGGAACTCTGGCTGTAGTGCAATCTTACGTTACTCATAAAACAGGTATGTGCTCAAGTGATTGATTATCAGGTAGAGTTCCTCAAGTGTCAGCAGCTTGAAAATGGAAGTCGCCCCAGGGGGTGGATTGCAGGCTTCTTCAAAGGAACGCGCCCGTCCAAACGTAACAGGAATTGTCAGGCTAGGACTTCTACCAACAACTGTTCTTCACACAATTTGCATTGGAGACAAAACTATTTTGAGGGAGAGAGACAGTGGATGAATTTAGACACCTTCCTAATATACTTATTTGAAAGCTTTTTTTTTTTGCTTACTCTTAATTCTTACGTGTTTTGCTCCTTTAGACTTTTTAGATGTTATCCTTTAGAATCCTAGAAGGTGGCAGCATATAAATGAATAATGAATCAATCAATAAATCAATCGGAATCTCTTCCCCAACTATGTTCACAAGAATGGAACTCTATATAGATAGTCCTCACTTAATGACTGCCCTGTTTAGCAACCAATTCGAACTTATGATGGTGCTGAAAAAGTAGATTTATGACTGGCCCTCAAAGTTGCAGCCATCGCGGCATCCCTGCGGTCATGTGATCGTGATTTGGGTGCTTGGCAATTGGTGCACATTTATGACGATCACAGCATCCCGCAGTCACATGATCGCCATTTGTGGTCTTCACAGCTGGCTTCCAACAAGCAAAGTCAACAGGGAAGCCAGTAAGAAGTCACAAGTCATGGTCACATGATGTTGCACTTAACGCCTGCAGATGATTCACTTAGTGACTGCAACGGAACTGATGTTGTAAGTTGGGCCCGGTCGTGTGATGTTTCACTTAACTGCTGCACCACTTAGCAACAGAGTTGTCAGTCCCAATTGCAGTAGATAAGTGAGGACTACCTTGCATTCTCTTGCAGATCTCAGTGCAGCCACTGAATTGTATGAGAAAAATGGTGGGTTAGGATCTAAAAGTCTGCTTTTCCACATATACTGTCTGGGTCATATCTGCACGCAAGGGAGGCACTGGATTGAGATCAGTGCTGATGTTGCTTGTTCCCATCCTATTGCTGGGCTTCCAACCATCTTGGAAAGCTGAGCAGATTAACACCATATGGTATTCAGCTGAGCTTAATGTCCTGTGGGCAGAAGAACTTCTCCTTGGTGAGAACTCCAGCCTCATCTCTCCTCCAGAACAACACCCGTCCTTCTCTGGGACAACTTTGGGAGATGGGGCTACTCCTACCTTGGCTGGCTGGCAGGGACACTGGCCAACACACTTGCCTGTTGGAGATAGCTGTTGGGCAGTGTAACAAAATGATTATAGTTAGGTGGGAGAAGCTGGCAGCCATGTGGAAGGGGCTTGACTTGAGTCAAGGAGCATCATGTTGAGGTGGGGAAGGCAAATGTGCCCCCTGTGCATCTCCCATAGTTATTGCCCTGAGGAGCTGTCCAGTTCTTACCATCCTTCCAGCTAAATTACAGATGCATTTGTTTAACTGCTGCATTGGGTAGAAAATGTCATTATCTTCATTTGTTCTGGTTTTGTTTGTGTCTTTTTCAGTCAAAGAAGAAGAGAAGAGGAGGTTATTAAAGAGGAGCAATGAATTAAGAGGAGAACACAGACAGCTGGAGGAAAAAGAATGCTTTCTTAATAATGCAATGAAGGTATAATTCCCAACTTGCGAATTATCTCAAGGGCCAGGGTAAACAAATAGACAAATCTGAATGCTTCCCTAAATTCCAGAAGGTGGTAGCCAAAGACATTGCTCCTTCAAGAGCAGTTTTAAGAAAACACGTCTTGGCAATCCATTATAGTTAATTGTCCTTTAAGCCCCATTATGTCATTAAGCATTTCGTTTCCACCGCTGGCTTCCTTACAGCAGTTCCTCATCATTTGGAGCATGATCGCTGTAAAAATAGTTCCACTTGCCTTCTGTGAGGTCTGAGTCTAGGAAGAGGCAAATCCAGCAGCTTTAGAGCAAACGTTGCATTACAACAGCATTGCTAAGCAGGTTAAAAAAAAAAAGATACAAGACTTCTTCCAGTCATGCTTGACTTAAGTCACGCCACCAACATGCCATTGAGGGTTTCTTGGCAGCAAAATACTTCTTTAAAACGCACACACACACACTTCCATTTTCTAACCTTAAAACCCTGATTTCCTGCTGGTCTGTCTACTAAGCAGGTCCAAATAATCTTTCAATATCAATCAGAGTTGGATAGGCTCCATAACAACTGTGATCTTCATGCTTTACCGTTTAATGACCTTCACTGAGATGGACTCTGCTGTGCGTGCTTTCTTAAGCGTCAGCCCCGCAGAACTCAGCAGGGCTTGAGTTAAACCAGTGGAAGAACGTGCTTAAACCCACGTTCCTTTGAAGGAAACCCAGGAGCCTTTCTTCGTCTGTCCCCGCGGCTCCTTGGTGCTCCCCGCGGCTGTTGGAGCTGAATCGCCCAGATGTTACCAGTCACTGCACAGATTCCACCTGTAATTCTTACTGAACCGTTCAGGTGGCAGCTGGATGAATCCTCTGGTTCAGTGGTTCCTGGGTAGAAAGTTTCCATTCATCCAGGGAAAGTTGGAGGTGCATGATCCAGAGGGCAGGTCCGATTTCCAGGGCAAGGCTTTGGCAGATGATCCAGAAGAGGTTCAGAGGGAACACCTGAATTGCGAGGCCTTAGCAAGATCCCATTCACAAGAGCTTTGCTGGGGCACAGCCAGTCAGCTTTTAAACCCATTCGCCCTCGAGCTGAGATGCTCGTTCCTGCTCAGAAGGGGCCGTTTTCCCTGCTCAGCACCCAGAGCAGCTTTTCCTTCTCCTGGCGCTGACTTTCAGCGCCCTCTCACCATCTGATGGTGGCCCGATACGTTGCAGTGTTTGGGGCCTGAATTTTGCTCATGCCGCCTTGGGATGGACAGAAGGTGAGTGCCTTCGCTGCGTGGCGTGGATTTCTGGTTGCGCTCTCTCTCCTTGCCATGCGCAGGGCTTAACGATAGGGTAACTCTTCTCCACTTGAAAACAGAGAGACTTACGTTGATGCCTAGCTGTATTTTTATCATCTGGGAGAGGCATTATGGATATTTTATGGCATTCAGGATGACACCAAAGAGAGAATAGGACAGTGGTACCTCGGGTCACGAACTTAATTCGTCCCGCGACTCTGGTCGCGACCTGAATTGGTCGCGA